TGCGCTCTAGTTGCAAACACGGTACAACAATTACAAGAAATGTTGAACACATACACCTGGGCATACGAGGCTTTGGGCCTTAAGCTAAACATCGACAAAACTAAAATCATGTGCACTCCCCCGGAAGATCACAACAATGCTATAAAAATCGGAGAAGAACTATTGGAGTATGTGGCGGAATTCAATTACCTTGGCAGTTTGATTTCGGAAAAGGCCAATATTGACTCTGAAATTCAGCACAGGATTAGTAGCCCCTCAAGAGCATTCTGGAAATTAAAAGACAGGGTTTTCTACAATCATGACTTGAGTACAAAAACAAAACTTGCAGTGTACCGAGCATTTATTATCCCCACCATGTTATATGGGAGTGAAACCTGGGTGCCGATGCCGTACCGCCGACACATGAACGCATTAAACAAGTTGCAACAGAGACACCTTAGACAACTCTTAAGAATCCGGTGGTTCCATCATGTCTCAAACATATCGGTCCTTGAAAAAGCTAACTGCGAGAGTATTGGAGTCATGGTTACAAAATCCCGCTTAAGATGGGCTGGTCATGTATGCAGAATGCAAGAAAACCGCATACCTAAATCTCTGCTTTACGGTGAGCTTGTAGACGGTAAGAGAAGGCCGGGTGGACAACTGAAAAGGTACAAGGACATTTTCTACGAAAACTTAAAGGGATTAACATGCAGAATGAGTAGGAAAAAGCAGCTCACAATAGAACTCAATGGAGAAGAGTTGTAAACTCAGTTAACAGCGACAACCAAAAAGTAAAGAGGCAACAAAGCAACGAGATTTTTGAATGTCCGGAGTACGGTAGGCAGATAACATCACGTATCGGGCTTTTCAGTCACAGAAAAGCTCATGAAAGAAAACGCCTTGCGTGACCATCTTCTATATGTGTGTCGAATACTCGTCAGCGAGTAACGGCTATGTATGTGTATGTAAGGAGGTGAGTTTTGTTGATGTAAATAATAACGGTTTATGTAGAGAAGCTTTATAAATAATAATAATTTTTATAATAACTATTTATCCTATTTATAATAAATTTATTTTTGTTTCCTAAAATATTTTGATTAAAAGAAAATATGTAAAAGGCAACGCCGTGTTAGTCAAGCTTAATCACGTGGCTAAAAGTTTATTTGATATGAACTATACATGTGCAGTGTGCATATAAAGGCCAAGAAATTTAACCCAAAAAAAGTTCTTTTAAGACAAACTGAGCTTAAAATATATATTTTTTTTATTAACTTCCCAACAAATTAATAAAAGAGCTGTCTTATAATATATAATAAAAGCCTGAACAATAGTCAGAAATTCTATGATTTAATTAATTTATAAAAAACTACATCAAACCCTCGTTAAGCGTTTAAATCGTTGAATGCATTTGCCTAAATCGCGTAGTTTTAATTGTTTGATCATTAGCAAATGAATTGCAATTTTCTTAATTATCAAATCTCAATTACGTAATTACTGGTAATTTTTTAATTGTTTGATAGCATAAAGTCCCTTTAAACATCGAATTAATAACACAATACCATAGCTTATTTTATTAACAACAATAGAAAACTCTACTAATACCACGAATAACATGTTATCTGTGCTAATACTCAAATAGTATATGGATTAGGGTGCACCAATAAAAAACTATTTTTTTTCATTTTAGTTACCGTGAAAATATCGTTCACGATGATAAAACAAAATTTCTGGAGGTCGGTCAAGTTTGCTCCCCGTACTAGAGGAATTTCAAAAAGAGATATACCACTATTTTGCACACATTTTGCACAATTTTGCACACTATAAATGATATTTTGCACACTTACCTTAGAGAAACTAGAGCCGTTTTTTAAAAATTTCCCCCCCATCTGTGACTAAATTGAATTTTGTTTATAACAAACGAATCGGCTAATTTTGCACAATTTTGCACACCTGTTTTTGAATTTTGCACATTCTCCTGACTAAAGTTATGCGGGTTTGAAAATTTGCAATTTCCCCCCCATCTGCTACGAAATTGAATTTCGTTTATATCAAACGAATCGGCTAATTTTGCACAATTTTGCACACCTATTTTAGAATTTTGCACACCTTCCTGACAAAAGTTATGAGGGTTTGAAAATTTGCAATTTCCCCCCCATCTACTACGAAATTGAATTTTGTTTATATCAAACGAATCGGCTAATTTTGCACAATTTTGCACAGCTACTTTCCAATTTTGCACACTCTCCTGACAAAAGTTATAAGGGTTTGAATATTTGAAATTTGTCTCATTTTGTTGTGAATTGTCCCATTTAAAAAACATAAGTATGAGTCATATTTGAAAATGATAGATCTCAGCGACGTAGAAAACTGTACGGAACCGAGACTTCATCTTTTCGATAAGTTATAGGATAACCGAGATATGAGGGTTGTCGAAAAATGCAAAATTTTCAAATTTGCCAGGCATTTCAGGAAGTAAGAGGGCTAGGACAAATCTGTGTGTAGAATCTTTAGTTTCATAAATGTTTTTCTATGCAAGCTATAAATTATCGAAAAGGTGAAATCTAAGTTCCGTGCAGTTTTTCACGTCGTCGCTGAGATCTATCATTTTCGAAATATGACTCATACTTATGTATTTTTAAATGGAACATTTCACATACAATGGGACAAATTTCAAATATTCAAACTCGTATAACTTTTGTCAGGAGAGTGTGCAAAATTCAAAAATAGCTGTGCAAAATTGTGCAAAATTAGCCGATTCGTTTGATATACACAAAATTCAATTTCGTGACAGATGGGGGGGGAAATTGCAAATTTTCAAACCTTCGTAACTTTAATCAGGATGGTGTGCAAAATTCAAAAACAGGTGTGCAAAATTGTGCAAAATTAACCGATTGGTTTGATATAAACAAAATTCAATTTAGTCACAGATGGGGGGGAAATTTCAAATTTTCAACCGCTTATAACATTCGTCAGAAGGGTGTGCAAAATTGTGCAAAATTAGCCCAATCGATGTACATAGAAATAAATCAATTTCGTAACAAATGGGGGGGGGGACGGTCAAGTTTGCCCCCCGTTTAAAAAACGGCCCTGGTTTCTCTTAGGTAAATGTGCAAAATATAATTTATGATGTGCAAAATTGTGCAAAATGTGTGCAAAATAGTGGTATATTTATTTTTGAATTTCCTCTAATACGGGGGGCAAACTTGACTGACTTAATTTCTGGTAAAGTTTGTGCTCTTAATATTAATATTAAGAGGTATCTCACCGTGATTTTCTATTTCCCATTTAAATAACACGGGGAAACAATTGCATTCTAACAATCAGCATATTGTAAAATTCAATAGAAATTCTTATAGTAAATTGAACGGTCTTCAAAAAATGTCTAATATGATTTTTCATTTAATCGCCTCGTTTGAAAGTTATTGAAAGGTGTAGCAAGTTTAGTTAGCAAAACATCAAATTATAATCTAAAAAGCAATATTGCCCCTTGTGTATGGCTTTTCATCAATAGAGCAGTCATGGGTTTGTTTGCATTTCACTGGAGTAAATCAAATTACACTAAAACTAAAAGTATCGGGAGCCAGGCAAGATACAGAAAAAACACAGTCGTGTGGTTGTAGTTAAAAATAAATGACTATATTGAATTGGGATGATTCCTAATTATTGTAATTAACATTGGAAAATTTTTGGTAGGTTATGGTAGAAATATTTGTTCAAAATTATTGTTTCAATGTATTACACTCTGTAAACAGTATTTTCCTCATATTGCATACAATAATTTTAAAGGAAGAAATGCCGATTCAGTATAATACAGTAGGCTCGCGATATAGTGAACTAATTAATGCAAAGCCAGTTCACTGGATCGATTTGTTCACTATATGGAATATTCCAAAAATTCACTAAAACAACAGTTGTCATTAGTAAACGAACTTTATTAACTATGGAAAAAAAACGTTATAAGTATAATGTACTAATAAAAAAGTAGTTTATTCTTTTTTATCGAAAAATGAGGTAATTTATGTTTGTGTTTTTTGTCTCATAAACCCTTTTTGGACCATTTCATTTCTTAAGTTTTGTAAAACGAGCAGACTGGCGTATTCCACTTCATTTTCTTCAACCCATTGAATTACGTTCTTAAGAGATTTGATCGCAGATTCAGTTGTCACACGTTCTCTTATTACTTCAACTTCTCCCCGTTCTTGATCTTGACAATTTTCATCGCTTTCGCTGTGGTCTTCAGATTCTTTATCCGGCAAAATATATTTATTCCAGTCGTCTACATCCATAGTGTGAATGTTGACTTCAGGATTGAAGGCTTGTAGTAAATCAACAATTTCTGATCTTACTGTATCGATTTCCTCATTCATTATTCGATTTCTTAGAACACTTAAAGGAATTTCTTCTTCATCATCATCTTCGTTGGCTAATGGCGATAGTAGATTGTGCAAACATTTTTCTATAACTTCAGGCTTTAAATTTTTCCATGCCAGGGCCAAATTTACAATGGCGTCTTTTAAAGAAAGAGATTTTAGAGTTTCTCCTATATCCTTATTGGTACCAATAATCTGCCACAACAAATTTTTGCGATAAAACAGTTTTGTTAAACGAATCGAATTTTGGTCCATTGGTTGTATCAATGGAGTAACGTTAGGTGGCATGTAACGAGTAAAAATGGAACCATCATCACTTTTTAGTTCCTCAGGGGGTGGAGGACTTGATGCGTTGTCTAACAAAAGGACGGCTTTAACTGGCAGATTTTGACTACGTAGGAACTCTTTGTCACCTGAAACAAGTTGAAACAAAACCTTAAATCACAAGCAGGAACAGCAAAAAAGGGAAAAAAATCGTGGCAAAAACAAATTTATAGGGTTCAAAATTACACAGATGAAATAAGTCGTTTTTGTTCGTAAAAATGGTATAATTTAAAATGTTTTCCTATTGCGAAACTTACCTCTGGAATCATCTTGTGAAACCATTCTCTAAAAATTGCTGCTGTCATCCAAGCAGCTTTGGAGTTTCTATAATGAACAGGACAGTTGAAATTTCGAAATGATTGAGGATTTTTGGATTTTCCAATCACTATATAGTGGTTTTAATTTGTGCGTACCTGCCGCGTTTGTGCATGCTAGAAAGGTCACTCTTTGTTTTTCGGTTTTCCTTCCTGGAGCTGTTTTCTCTTCGCGAGCTACATATGTTTTTCCAGGAAGAAGCTTCCAATATAAGCTAGTTTCGTCTGCGTTGTAAATCTGATCTTTCGACAGTTGAAGATCTTTAATTTTTACTTCTAGATATCTTTTGAAAGGATCAACAAGCTTAGGCTGTGATGACAGTTTTTCTCCTGAAATCTTTAAGTAACGTATTCCAAAGCGCTTTTTATATTTTTGCAACCAGCCGCTGCTTGCATGGAAAGAGGAAGATTCTTTGTATTCATTGTGAAGCAGCTTGGCCTTCTCTTGGATCATTAAACCGGTTACGGGAAGATTTTTCTCTCTTTGTTTTAGAAACCACTTATATAGAGCTTTTTCCATTCGTGGACACTCTGAATGTCTTAAGCAGGTTTTCATTTTTCCTGGTACGTTAAAAGTATTATTGATCCTTTTCAAAATGTTTACCCTTCTGTTTCGAATAGAGCATATGGTAGATTTAGCAACACCATATTCTTTGGATAAAACAGTCACCCCAACAACTTTCTTTAAGTCTTCTAATATCTTGGCTTTATCACTTAGGCTTAAATGTTTTCTATTTTTTGCCATACTTCACCCGCGAAACGACCTGATGCAATCACAATCCGCAAGAAACTGCTGTGATACAATTACACAAAGGAAAACAAAACGTTTAAAATCGTTTTCCTGTATCGACGTGTTTGTTGACGAACAAATGCTTTTGGGATCATTATTTCAAGAGCTACTTTGTTCATTCTACAGAATACATTAACAAAAAATTGTCTGTTCACTATTTAGAGTAGTTTACTATACAGCATGTTCACTATATCGCGAGTCTACTGTATATTGAAAAATAAAAAAAATATCAGACAAATATTCTAATAATTGCTTTCTTTAGAGTTTTATTTCAATTAAATTACATAAAATATTTTTATTTAAAAGACTTGCAAGTGTCTTGCAGCAAGATCAAGACTGTATCTACAAGACCATGACTACTTATTAGACTGCAAGACCCAGACCAAGCGAGTTTTGGTCTTGGCGTTGATTGAAGAAATAAGAAGATGCGCAAGCTTATTGGTCATTTTGTGGCGCAAAACATGTCCGAGATGTAGCTGGCGTTACCGTTATATGTCCGAGATTTAGTTTAGCTCTGCGTCACTGCCTCTGTGCGCTGATAGTCATTTACAGCGCAGCGGATATAGAATACTGTACCGTAGTTCTGCTTTCAGTCGACAGAGTGGGTGCCTGCCCGACACAGTGTTGCCAGAACTACGGGTTAATCCGTAAATTTAAAGATTTTGGGTACAGTACGTTAATAACACGGATTTTCTATCATTAAACAATTTAATGTAATATTATATGATTAAACGAAAAACGGCATCAGATTTGGCTTGGAAATGAAGATCGCTGTTATTTCATATGTAAAATATTATTATAAATGTCAATAGTCGTCATATCCAATCCAACTAAATATCTTTTTTTCGATCATACGAAATATTCAGTACCTATAAAAGAACTTTTATTTTTTTGGCATATTTTATGTTGAACACGAATACATTTTCCCGCATTTTTCATCCATCGATATTTTCGTCAAACGTATTACAGATATTACACATTTTAATATTGCAACAACTGTCGCTTTCAGTTCCACACCGTCTTCGATATTCCTTCGCTAGCCGAATTAGAGAAAATACGTTTTATGCGTTGGCTGCAGAACGAGTAGAGGCTCCACCGTACAGCACTTGAGACGTAAGGGGAAATCAAATCAGCCTTGTCACTAATTCGCCTATTAGGTTGCGTATCTTCTCAATTCTTTCAATCAACGGACAACAAACAAAGTAAGGCTTGTATTTGCTTATCACTAACTGTGCTATTGTAAAAAAATATATAATGCGCGCGTATCACGTGGACGTGAGACTTCAATATTTTTGATAAATCTTCGTAAATAAATACCAGGGATTAAATAAATATACATTATAATACAATCCATATTTACATATTAAGTATCTTGGGAAAAAAAGTGTTTTACGGAATTTTCTGTTTGTCTCTTCTATTTGATTTACGCAGGATATGTCAATATTAATAATATATTTTTTACAACATATACAGAAGGGTTAACAGCAACAGTGACTATTTGTTTAGGATCAACTTTGGCCTTTAAGTTTATATCTTCTAATATTTATTTTACTTTGCAATAGGTAGCAGTAATAAGTATTTCGCTTGTGTAATGGGTGTACATATTACTGAAAGATTAAGATCAAGGTTTAAGTAAAAGTAAACTCGCAATATTTTCCATTTTAGTCAATGTCAATTATTTTCTAATTAATAATTGAATGTCGAAAACCCCATTAATAACTCATATACTTTTGTTTGAATTGATTCAGATTCGTGTATCAATATTTCGACCTAAATAAATATTAATAAGTCTAGTTATTGTGAATATATTAATATTTCTGAAATCACGATAACTTTGTGAATCTAATTTATGTTAATAAGGCGCCAACACAGCTAAAAAATATTGCATTAAATGTTAATATTTTAGATGTTAATACTGGTTTACTGTTATTAAAAAAGGAAAGTATTTTAAGTTAACATCCGTTATTTGCGGCTAACAGCGCTTTCAGATGGAGCGGACCGTCCGGCGTCCGCGCGGATGTTTTTTCAAGATAACTCATCCGGACGGAGCATACGCGACCCATGTGAAATCGTTCATATAAACTCATGGTACTTGCTCGAGGTCCCGGACGCTTCGTCGCGGACGGTCCACTCCGTCTAAAAACGCTGTAAGACTAGTCTGGGCGGAGCCTATTTGTAAACGCGGAATCTGAAATCTGAGCCGAGGTCCTCGGCTATGTCATTTTAGTGTGTTTTCGGTTAAATTATAGTATTATTTATCATGTGACAAATTTTAAAATCCGGGAAAATAAGAGCAAATATGTTGTAAAATTTGCAATTTTCAAGATGCCGCCAGACCTATTTGCCAATTTCGTAAATCAGCCAGACTTGCTTTTGATTATGGTTTATGATAGTATCAAATGGTACGTTAAATTTCAAAGATAGGAAAATAAGGGTTACGGATTTTAAAAATCGTGTTAAAAATTTCAAAATTTTTGCATCCGCAAAAAACTATAAAAACAAATTTGTACGCAATTTTTAGGCAACTATAAAAATTAAAATAAAAATATGCCATCTAGCGCCCTAGGAAATTACTACCCCAAAAACAGATCGTTCAAGGTCGTATATCTCAGTTGACTGGCCCTGACCTTTGAATAGGAAGACTTAGCCCGCGGTTACATTGGACGCGGGTCCGTGCGTTTTTTTAAACGTGCGAGCTCTGACGGAATTTACTCGCACGACAATTTTATTTTAGTGGTTACATTAGATGCGCGTTCATGGTGTCCTGTGTGTCAAGCAGGGTTCGGAAGTAGTTAATTAAGACGTAATTTACCTGATTAACTACGTGTAGTTTTTCTTCAAAAACTACGTCTTGTCCAGTTCATTAACTACATGAAAACTACGTTAATAAACTATGTATTGAAATTATGAATAATTTTCCTTTGTATGAGGTGTAATAGAGATAATATGATGTAAATATTATATTTAAAGCCATATTTCTTCTGTTTTCTTAAATACATTATGTGTTTTTGAAGCTTCAACTTATTATAACCTCACCTCAAACCTGTAATATTTAAAAGTTACATACATAGGTTACATAAACTACACCTTCTACATAAACTACACTAACTACATGTAATGTAGTTTATGTAGTTTTTAAAGTAACATGTAGTTTTCCGAACCCTGGTGTCAAGTTTGTCAAAACGGACGCCACTACTTTGATGCTTTCTGAGGATTTAATGTTAAAATAACTACTTATGAACAGAAGAAAATGTTAGGTAAATGATTTATTTATATGCAAGAAAAGGGAAAGAAAATGAATATGTAAAATATTTGGTAAATTAAAACAGCAACCGGTCAAATTTTTTGAATATTTTAGAATGTTTCCAGCATCATTAATATATCTAAAATAAAAAAAAAACTGGTATTCAAAAATATTCAAATTTTTAGGGAATGTATTGGGCCCAGAGATATAAAAATTCGAACGCTCTGACGTGCACGTATTAAAAAACCAAACCAGTTTGTTTTCATCCGACCAACGGAAATTGACGTACGTGCACGGACGCGCAAACTCCGATGCAATGTAACCGCCTGCGTAGATATCATTTGTTTGTTTTTTTGCTGCGTGCACGTCCGAGCACGTACGACCAGGGTTCGGAAGTAGTTAATTAAGACGTAATTTACCTGATTAACTACGTGTAGTTTTTCTTCAAAAACTACGTCTTTTCCCGTTTATTAACTACATGAAAACTACGTTAATAAACTATGTATTGATATTATGAATAATTTTGCTTTGTATGAGGGGTCTAAATAATATGATGTGTGAATATTATATTTAAAGCCATATTTCTTCTGTTTTCTTAAATACATTGTATTTTCTAAAGCTTCAACTTATTATAACCTCACCTCAAACCTTTGATATTTGAAAGTTACATACATAGGTTACATAAACTACACCTTCTACATAAACTACATTAACTACATATAATGTAGTTTATGTAGTTTTTAAAAGTAACATGTAGTTTTCCGAACCCTGCGTACGACCAAGAAAACGCACGGACACGCATCCAATGATCCAATGTAACCACGGACTAAGGAAGGAGCATAATGCTATCAGAGTTGTTAAACTACACGTAGTAATTAAGAAACTACATTTACTACATGTCAGAAGTGGTTTTTTAAATGTCGAGTAGTAAATGTGTAGTTTATGTAACTAATGTAGTTTTTTAAAATAACAGTGAAAACATAACCTAAAAACTTTGTTGATCAATTTAAAGAAATAAAAAATCTATATTTTGTGAATTTGTTCCTTATTATGTGATATTTTTAATACTTAGTAGTTATAAATGGTTGGAAGACGTCGACGTCTCCATACCTTCTAGGAAGAGGGGGATTATGAAGTTGTGCCTTTAGATGTAAAAAATCATATATTCTCCTGTAGAATGTCTATGGAGAATTTCTCCATAAGAATTTAAGAATTTATAGTTTATTTTGTGTTCAATGTTACTTTGTATTTTATAGAAAATACACTTTTGTTGAAAAAAAATTGAATACAATAATATAACTTATTCATACTTCCATGCTGCTTCCATGATTAGAATTTGGCTTGATTTTTGTTTAAAGTCTAAATTATTTATGTTTTACTATATTTTTGTAGGTAGTTTTTAATGTAGTTTTTGTGTAGTTTTTGAAGGTAGTTTTTAAGATTTTAAAACGTAGTTAATACAAAAAACTACGCGTAGTTTTTGGCGTAGTTTTTTGCTTCATAAACTACTTAACAACAAAAAGGACTCTAGGGTGGGGATCCTTGACAGTTCTGTTTGGCGATTCATTTGACACATTTGAATTTGATTTGAAATTTTGTGGATTTGTCAGTCTTTACGGAGCTTATTTTATGTTATTTATTATTTATTCTACTACTGATAGTTGTATAAAGGTAGCAAATCTAGATGGAAATTGTGGCAGAACTTAAATTA